CTTGGGAATGGCTACGAGGATAGACAACCCACCTCCTCCCTTCCAGTACAGCGTTGAGGAAAAGGCAAAATGTTACAGGAACTGTATGCAACTAGCTCCAGAGCTGATAGAGGGCACCTGTCAGTACGGAATCCAAACGGGCGTCTACAGTTTGGGTTACGTGTTCAGCGTCATCTCCTTCCAAAAGCCAGAACTGGGGGTAGTCGACTCCATTTATTGTCAGTGTCGTCAAGCGCTGAAGGATCGGCCAACGATGGAATCGATTATTCAGGATTTGGAAGGATCCCGGTGCGATGTGGTGAAGGAGGCTTTGGCAGATATTAGAAATAGACTGAATAGGCTATCGAAGTTGGCCAAGGCAGCAAAAGTATCCTAACTGGCAAAAGTCAACGTTACAAAAGCCTTGCCACTTTTCACATATCAATGACGCTATTGCTCGAGAGAAGTATTTTTATCAATCCATTTCTGTCTAGTTTTATGGTTGTATATTGATGAACAGTACTCTTGGGTGCACCTGGAACGTGATTATTACGTTTGATTCATTTATCTGGTGGGATATATTTTGTCATTGCTAAACACACGATTTTCTGTCTGGTTTTTAATTTTTATAGACAAAACAATAATAAGGTCCTACTCTTAATGAGACCCCTCCTCTTCATTTAAAAATAATATAAATAAGGGGCTTATTATTTCCACAATGTCTTTGAAGCTCCTATAAAGTTACTTGATTATTTTTCTTTTCATGTAGTGCTGTTTCAAACTGACGAGGCAGTCAGTACGAAGCCGATTGCCTAAATAAGAGCACAACATTTAGAAATTACAAATGTCAACGTTTAATGTACATAACGTTTCTGGAACAAAATGGCAGGGGAGCTCGTAAAACGTAAGGGGATTGGTATACTGGAAAAACCAAAGCTCATTATAAATGCGTCTTTGTATTAATTATAAGATTTAACGGTTTAAAATGTTAACACCTTTTTGGAAATAAACGTATGATAGCCTTCAGAAAATGTTACCACCCGACATATTTGTTTTTGAGTCTTGTTATTAACACCCAATTGTGTAATTGTCTTTGAATTTATTAACACATCAACACGTATTTATTTAAAAAAAAAACCACAACGTATTTAGCTTTGGATTATTAACACCACAACACAAAGGCTTGCAACATTAACACTTGGTTTTACAGTGTTTGATTTTTTGGACAGGCAATGTCGAATTAATAATTAGAAGACTTTTTGGACATTTTGAAATGAGCGTAAAATACGCTTGAGAGCAAAATTATTTAATGAAGAGTTTTCATAAAAAAGGTTCATGCCTATTTTTTTCAGTACTTTAAGCACAGATGTAAAGAACCCAACTAAGTTTCATTTCTTTGTATCTCTTGTTTACAGTTGAATCGGACAGCATATGACGGCATGCACTCAGGATAGGTCTACTTTGAATATTTCAGTGTGTTGTGAACAGTTTAATTATAACTAATTCAAAACATACTTGAATACTTGCAAAACGTGATTTACCGGTCCTATTTTCTTTCAAGAGCTCAAATCCTTCAAAAACGGGACTCAATCTCAAGACCTCTGGTTGATTGAAGGATGTGGTCATACCGTTGTGATAATGAACTGGAAAGCCCAGTTTAAAAGATCGACAATCAATGGACCTATGACCGGCGCTTAAGGTATTCGAATCGGCACACTAATTTCTAAAATGTGAAATACCTCATGCAAGTACCTAGACTCCTTCTGGTTCTGATGAAGAACGCGTATGAAAGGATCGGCTGCGTTGATCTTGCATTCACGGCAACTCTCCCTTCGCCAACGATTTCCCATTCTGTCACGAAGGCTGCTATCTCCTGTTCTCAGAATGGCTAATATTTGATTTAGTCCTCTTCTAAATGTTGCCGGTTTCACTCCACGACGGTAGGAGGCGGGGCGTAACGTACCCTTGAAAACAAAAAAGTTTCCAATCTCTTTTTATTTGCAATTGAAAGCACTAGCATTTTAGAAACGGTGCTACCGAAGTTGTTAGGGCCGGATATAATGAATTTGTTTACAGACCTAGATACGTTACTGAAGTATCGTTTAGTATTTTTTTCCTTATCAGTGAAGACAAACTGGACTGTCATCTACCATGCAACGTGTTCAAAGTACACAAATGAGAAGTTTGTTTACAAGACCAGCACTTAACATGCTGGTAAGGGCCTCTGTACAAGCCATTCATTCGACTATACTTGACATTTAAACAAGTGTGGACCTTGTACGGTAAAATACTGGTCTGTGTTCTTTTGAACGTATTACAACCTTTGCTGCAATCATTTACTTCTTTGGGGTATTTTGATCTCGCACTGTATTGTATCAGCAGGATTTGTTTGGCAACACAAATTCATTCTAAAACGCAGGAAAAGGCAGGTACGTTGATAAAATGCTTAAATTTTGTATATTAATTATGAAGAAGAAAATGATGTTGTCTCAAAATACAATTAATAAATAGCGTAACTAAAACCAACTTGGATAACAGCAGCTAGTATTTAATCGGGCACGTCGTAAGTGCTAGTTTAATTCAAGACCATATATTAGTAAAGTAACAGGATATAAAATAATACCAGTACGTACGAGACACGTCTAAAGAGAAAACTGGTGCCTCCATTCCAGACCTCTTCAAAATTTGAAAGAAAAAGACTCTCTGTTAATCCCATGAGGTAGAACTAAGCGACAAGTGTCTCCCTTCAGAGAATGAGGCACCAGCTTGCGAAATGCTCCGTAGACGGACGCGGAAAGCACTGGAGTGAGCGACCAGCAAATCCACCGACCGGCCGGTTATTTGTGGCTAACCGGTCATCCGACTGACTGAACGATTAATCAGTAAAGATGGTTTCAGAATCAAATATTCGGGGAGGGGGCAAAATGGTTTTCTGTCATGTTACCTGCATGTTGTAGCCTATCTCAGGGAAAGGCTACACATTGGGGGTGGGGGAGTTTTGCACGCTTTTTAAAGGAAAGGAAATAGAGTAGCGCCCCATGCGGATCCGCCTTTGTCAACGAGACAGTCAGTCAACCCACTACACACAATAATTCTCAACTACGTTTCTTGGTAATTTTTTTTCAGGACAAAGAGTAAGAAATCCATACCTCAACGCCGTAGCTCCATGATTCCAGCCATTTAGTTCCCTCCAGTGTAATGCTTTTCACGACTTTCTTGCCAAACTTCGCGGGCCTCCTTGGCCTTGTCCTCGCTAGCCTGAACTCACCCAGCCGTGGCGAGTCCCTGGCCACTATTCTGCAGCATGTACACCTTGACGACTTCGCCGACCGCACAGAGGGAAAGGCCGGAACGGGAACTACGCTCAATCTCACTGAAATCGTGGTTGGGCGGTGTTGGGACTACCAGCGAGTGACAGGGATGGAAAAGGGAAAGCCAGACAGGTAAACTTCCATAGAGGTCAAGGATCATCTGAAAGGTTAAAAAAGCTGGTTATCAAATCTGAATTACCATAGAATAAACTACCAATTTGGCATGCTTTGCGAGTCTCTCTGTTGGAAGTATGTTGTTGACATGACAATCGCTGAACGGGTTCCACTGGGGGTGACCACTGAGGTACAAGTCACGCTTGGTGATTTGGAACTATGGCGTAATCAAAACCACATTAGGAAAATGTACTTCAACCCGCTCAGTTAACCATTGATAATCATGCTTTGGAACAGGTTCAGTCGTTGAGGGCGTTAGGGGTTACTATCCAGGCATAGGCCTATTGCAAACGGGAGAAGCATTTACAAGACATGGTCAGAAAGGCTTATAATACCAGTAAGCATATGCTACAACAACTAACTTATCTTAACTTGCCTTAGCGTGACCTTATTATCAGACATAGTGGCTTTATTCGGCCTCTCCTTGATAATGCTACACCTGTTTGTGTGACGGGTGTGACGGATGTGACGGTTAACAAATATATCCACTTGACAAGCTTGTTATGATCAGGCGAACATTAACAGCACAAAGAGCACGGTTTAATGTGTCCAAAACAAATATGCAAAAATTGACTTTAAACAGTTGGAAATTATAAGTATAAATCAACAACAATTTTGTTCATATTTGAAGTTAAGCAATCATAACTAATCACACAGTATCTGGCAATTAACAGGATCGATGACATTAACCTGGATCCACATATACATTTTACACTGCACGCAATAAACCTAAAGTGACATGTAATCGACCCCAATACGCATTGTAAATTGTCCCAATTATGTTACTTGTGCATATTTTTTCCCCAAAATAAATGCCTTAAACATATCCCACAACCCAAAGAATGTCTATAATAACCAAATAAAGGAATTACAAATGACAAGTTATGCATATTTCACTTACGACTTTGGGATGACGTGGAAACGAAACACGAAATATGGCGACTGCAAAGCGTGACCGGGAAGTTCTAGATTACAGTACAATTGTAACAGCGCCCTCTATCATTGAAATATAACAAACAATAAATTTACCTATAAAGGAGCATTCTGACTTAACATTCCGACCCCTTAAATGCCATTACATACTTAATAAGGCATTTACTACATAACTATATCATTAAGCAAAATGCGACCATTTCAACAAACCGAATGTTATATACCTTTAAGCACGGAAAAAATGATTACATAATCCCAACAATAACACCATTCAAATTACAATGGACAAATACACATATCCTTACAAGAAACTTGATGCTGGAATGTTAGGGTTTGATTTAAGCTGTAAATCCGTGCTGTAAATCCCTGATGAATACCAGATGGTTCACTGCTCTTTATTTACTGACTCTAAGAGGCACAACTTCTGAACTGGCCTAGTCAGAATGGATGACTTGGTTTTTACTTTGACCACTCTTACAAGCTGATCCTTCCCTGGGTAAGTTTCAAGAACACGCCCAAGAAGCCATTTGTTTCTAGGGAGGTCATTGTCAACAATAAGTACCAAGTCGCCAACCATGATGCTCCTTTGGGGTTCAAGCCATTTTTGTCTTTTTTGCAGTGAGGGGAGATATTCCCGGATCCATCTTCTCCAAAATACATCAGCAAGGTATTGCGCTTGCTTCCATCTTCTCCGCGAGTACATATCCTTTTTGTCGAATTCACCAAGGGAATGTGGCGCACCACGAAGAAGTAGCAGGTGATTTGGAGTGAGTGGTTCCAAGTCGTTGATGTCGTCTGAGACGGTGGTAATTGGCCTGTTGTTTATGATACTTTCGACTAGACACATTACAGTCGACAAGGTTTCATCGCTCACTACCTGTTCTGTCATCAGTGAACTCAACAGCCTGCGTGTCGACCTAATTTGTCTTTCCCAGACGCCCCCCATGTGGGAAGCGCTCGGGGGGTTGAACTTCCACTGGATTCCTTTCTTAAGAAGGAACTTGTCAACCTTCTCTTGACTCAACCCTTTCCAAGCTTCCTTTAGCTCACGCTCAGCTCCAATGAAGTTAGAGCCATTATCGGACCTCAGCTCTATCGGTTGTCCTCGTCGACAGACAAATCTCTGCATGCCGTTTATGAAGGAATCTGTATCCAGTGTATGCAAAACCTCTATGTGCACCGCTCGAGATGCAAGACACGTGAATATGCAACCGTACCGTTTGATCTGGTTCCTACCCTGTTTCACTAGAAACGGTCCAAAACAATCGACTCCAACAAATGAGAATGGTGGTCTGTGTGGGGTAACCCTGTCAGATGGTAGGTCTGCCATCTTCTGCTGGACTGGAACTACAGACCTTCGCCTACATTCAAAGCAACTGCTCAAAACCTTGCGCAAAATGGATCTAGCCTTGATGACCCAGAATTTTTGTCGTATCAGTGACAGAACATACTCTCTTCCCGAGTGACCAGATTCCAGATGGTAGTGCTTCATGATAAGAGAGACTACATGGTTGTCTTTTGGCAATATGGGTGGATGGTTTGATGTATCTCCCGGGGCATTCCGCAACCGTCCCCCAACTCTGATGATGCTGTCGTCTGTCAAGATAGGATCCAACTTGTACAGTTGACCTTTCTTCTTCTTTTCAGACCTAAGCTTCTGAGCCTTATCTTCACCCTTCTTCAAGCTGCTGAACTCCTCCTGGAAGGACTGGGCTTGAATGTATCTTACGATGGCAGCCTCTGCCCTGGCTAGGTCGTTCGTTGTCAGCGTCTTCATGTCTTGTATTGCTGGTTGCTTTCTGATTCTTCTTAGCAGACTGTCAGTCACTCGCAAGATCCATGCAACACTTCTTCTCAGCTCATACCATGAGGAGTGTCTGGCCATCAATCTGTCGGTTGGGTTAGCTGAGTCTGTATGTTGGGTGGCATAAATGGTGACTATCTCCTTCTCAAGCTTCACTTCTGGATCTTTATCGTCAAGAGTTGTCGAGATCGGTAAACTTGGCCACATGTTGTCTTCTTGGCGTAAGAATTCAGGACCAATCAACCACTCCTGGTTGGCCAGCAGCTCATCTACCATTTGCCCTCTGGTGATAACATCTGCCGGGTTTAACCCGCTTTTCACATGACGCCACTGATGAAAACTTGACTGGTTCTGGATGACGGCTACTCTGTTTGCCACAAAGGTGTGGAAACGCTTCTGTTCATTATAGATGTATCGAAGCACTATTGTGCTATCAGTCCAGAAAACTGATTCTTCCAAAGGTAGGTCAAACTCCTTCTTGATCATTGCATCCAGCCTCACAGAGAGTGTCGCAGCCGTCAGCTCAAGCCTTGGTATCGTAACCTTCTTCAAAGGTGCCAGACGTGACTTTGATAATAGCAGACAGGTATGGCTGAGGCCTGCAGAATTCACCATACGAAGGTAAGTTACAGCTCCGTAAGCTGCCTCAGACGCGTCGGAAAAGTGGTGCAACTGATAACTGACGCCATCCTTGTACCCATAGGGCTTGATACATCGGTTTATCCGCAGCTGTTCGAGCTTTCCCAAGTCCTGCTTCCAACGTTGCCAATCCTCTCTGTGTTGTGACGGTAGCTCTTCGTCCCAACCCAACTTCTTCCTGCTTAAGTCTTGGACAATCTTCTTGGCTAACAGCGTGAAGGGACTCGCAAATCCATGCGGGTCATAGATGGAGGAAACAATACTTAGTAACCCCCTCCTTGTCAAGGGTTTTTCCCTTTGGCTCACTTTATACCCGAAGCAGTCAGTCTCGACGTCCCACTGCATACCCAAGGCCCTCTCTGTAGGTAGCGCTTCATGATTCAGGTCTAGCCCCCTGACACCCACGGCTCTATCTTCCTGTGGGGTTGACTCAAGAACTTGAGGGCTGTTACTCAACCACTTCGTCAACTGAAAACCACCTCTGGACAGAAGTTCTCGTAGTTCTCTAGAAACTCGAATAGCCTCAACTTCAGTTGCAAGTGAGACTAGGCAGTCATCTACGTAGAAATTGCGCATGACGCAATTGACTGTGTCTGGTTGGAATTCGTGACGGTTGTCCTCGGCGGTATGTCGTAAGGCAAAGGAACAGCAACTGGGACTCCATGTCCCGCCAAAAGGGTGTGCAGTCATCCTGTGCACAGCCGGTTCACGTGAAGTATCACCGTCAGGCCACCAAAGGTAACGCAAGACGTCTCGACATTCCGGGGACACTCTGACCTGGTGGAACATGGCACGAACGTCTGCCAAAACTGCCACTTGTTCTTGTCGGAAGCGAAGGAGTACGCCTAACAACTTGTTTGTCAGGTCTGGCCCACTGATTGTCTGCGTGTTCAAGGACTGACCATGGTGTTTAGCTGCACAGTCGAAGACGATACGCATCTTCCCTTGTTTACCTGAATCGAGTACCGGGTGATGTGGTAGATACCATATGGCCGTATCTGTCACGCAATCATCTCCTAGTGCCTCAGCATATCCATTATCAACCAGGTTTTTCATGCCTTCTATGTAGCGTGACTTCAACTCATGATCCCTCTCTAGACGTCTGCCCAATGAAGTCAGGCGTTGCTCTGCGACCATTCGATTGTCAGCAAGCCTTGGCGGGTTGTTCTTGAACGGTATTGGCAGTTCATAATGGCCATCTTTCATGCAAACGGTGCTCTCCCACAATGCAATTGCTCTCTTGTCTTGGACTGACATGCCCTTGTCGTCGTCATACAGTGACTCAGCAGCATCCAATTTCCAGAATCTCTGCAGCTGTTGCTCAAGAGCATCATCAACTGCCACATAGCTTGACGTTACCGCAGGCCTCATGGACATTCCCAACGGCCCATTTAAGGACCATCCAAGTCGAGTTCTGGTAGCATACGGTGCCTTTGTTTCACCACTTCTCACTTCCAATGGAAGGAGTGCCTCTGGCGAGTCTTGACCAATCAAGAGGTGTACCTTGCCCTTCTCAACCTGGGGGATGCTGATGTCTCGCAGATGTGGCCATTTCGTGATGTCTTCTGGCTCAGCAATGTTGTCGTCATTAATCGGAAGTGAGTGTCGTGTATAAACCTTATCAAGTTTAACTGCCGCTTGTTGGTCAAAACTGTTCACCACCAAGCTGACGACGGTTGTTTCAGTCTTGACCTTTGCCTTTGTCATTGTCGTTAGGGTCAAGGATTGCCTTTTACCTTTGATGCTCAGTCGACATGCAAGCTCCTCCGTACAGAAACTGCTTGTTGAACCATTGTCAAGAAGAGCATAAGTGTCAACGCTACAATCGCCATCTACTGCACTGACCTTCACTGCAATGATAGGTAGGGCAACTCTGTACACCCCGACCCCTGTGACGCAAGATGTGCCATGATCCGTCTCAGTGAAGCTACTTTGCGCTGTTGCCTCCGGCCCAGCTGGTCTATCATCTTCAACACCAGATGACGGTGTCTGCTTTAATGGATGCAAGAACTTTGTGTGTCTTTTACCGCACCCTGCAACAGAACAAACTCTATGCAAACTACATGCACTTGAAACATGACCTGGCCTTAAACAATTGTAACACAATCTTTCAGCTTTGGCAAAGTTAAACCGCTCTTGTGGGGTTTTACCCTTGAATTCAGAACAACCAAACAGTGTATGGTTACCCTTACACATCACACATGTTACATGTACATGTTCATTCATCTTGCTAATGGTTGACAATGCATAGCTAGTTTTGTCTGGTCTGGTTACTCTAGATCTCATCTCTGGTCTGTGTGGCTTATATGTACTTGCATGCAAATTACTATATACAGGATCATTGGCCTCCTGGGCCGCATCTTCAACAAACTCAACCAAATCAGCAATCTTAGGACACTTGTCACTCTTCCGAAGCCCCCTTACAAGTTTTATCCATCGATTACGTAAATAACCGGGCAGCTTCTCTACAAGTTTTACCATTACACCTTGGGTTCCTATTTCCTGAATATATCCCATTGTGTCCAATGTTTCCTTACAAACTTTGAGGTCATCAGCATACTCTCTTAGCCCTACTTTATCATGGGAAGCCAAGGGTACACCTTTGGTTACCTTATTTACCCATGCCTCAGCTATGACATAATCACTGCCGAAGCGTTCTTGGAGAAGTGCCTTGGCCCTCTTGTAGCCAACACTTGGCGCCATTATGGCACAACACTCTATGATCTTTCTTGCCTTTCCAGTACAGTATTTCAGAAGCCTTACTAGCTTGGCACTGTCGTCAATATCTGCAATGTCTACACTGTTCTCGAATGCACGCAGAAAGGTCCAGTATTGCAGTGGGTTGCCGTCGAAGGTTGGCAACTCTGCTCTCGGAAGTTGCATCGTTGCCAGCATGCATCGCTGCTGTTGTTGCCCCGTTTTTACCAATTCCATCAGCGAGGCTTCCTTTTCTGGGTTGTCATCATCCATAGGGGCTGTCTTGAGCTTGTCTGCGGAGTGCTCTCCATTCTTCGGTGTCGTAATTGACGGACTATCCACAGGGGAGTAACCTGGCTCCTTCCGGGGTGTCTGCTCATCCCCTGCTTCATGCAAACTGTCCTTCTGTGACTCCTGCTTGTCACTCAGTACTGGTGATGGTGTCAAACTTGGGGGTGTCGTCTGAAGACTGTCCCCATCGATGGCGTAAACTATTTCTTCCGCCTTTGCCATGTCCATCTTGGTCTTGATTGCGAGCTCTTGCTTTCTTTGACGCAGTTTCAACTCTTCGAGCTCTATCACCTGTATCTCTCGTAAGCATGCTGCCTCTGCTTCAAGCGCTGCCATCTTGGCAACAAGCCTTCTCCTGGTTCTACCCAGTGACGACTTCGTTGTGCTTGTCGTTGACGCTATCTGACTGGAAGAGTCCTCTGGGCGTACCGACTCCTCCTGCCTTTCATCATCTCCTGGTAACGGGCCATCATCATGGTCTTGGTGCTTGGCGCTCTGCTCACCTCCACTAACTACGCTCATGTTGTCGGTGTACAGGTATCCTCATAGATCCCAGTCATTAAACTCATGTGACNTGAGAAGTGCCTTGGCCCTCTTGTAACCAACACTTGGCGCCATTATGGCACAACACTCTAAGATCTTTCTTGCCTTTCCAGTACAGTATTTCAGAAGCCTTACTAGCTTGGCACTGTTGTCAATATCTGCAATGTCTACACTGTTCTCGAATGCACGCAGAAAGGTCCAGTATTGCAGTGGGTTGCCGTCGAAGGTTGGCAACTCTGCTCTCGGAAGTTGCATCGTTGCCAGCATGCATCGCTGCTGTTGTTGTCCCGTTTTTACCAATTCCATCAGCGAGGCTTCCTTTTCTGGGTTGACATCATCCATAGGGGCTGTCTTGAGCTTGTCTGCGGAGGGCTCTCCATTCTTCGGTGTCGTAATTGACAGACTATCCACAGGGGAGTAACCTGGCTCCTTCCGGGGTGTCTGCTCATCCCCTGCTTCATGCAAACTGTCCTTCTGTGACTCCTACTTGTCACTCAGTACTGGTGATGGTGTCAAACTTGGGGGTGTCGTCTGAAGACTGTCCCCATCGATGGCGTAAACTATTTCTTCCGCCTTTGCCATGTCCATCTTGGTCTTGATTGCGAGCTCTTGCTTTCTTTGACGCAGTTTCAACTCTTCGAGCTCTATCGCCTGCATCTCTCGTAAGCATGCTGCCTCTGCCTCAAGCACTGCCATCTTGGCAACAAGCTTTCTCCTGGTTCTACCCAGTGACGACTTCGTTGTGCTTGTCGTTGACGTTATCTGACTGGAAGAGTCCTTTGGGCGTACTGACTCCTCCTTCCTTTCATCATCTCCTGGTAACAGGCCACCATCATGGTGGTTGACACTCTGTGACGCTATCTGACTGGAAGAGTCCTCTGGATGTACTGACTCCTCCTGCCTTTCATCATCTCCTGGTAACGGGCCACCATCATGGTCTTGGTGCTTGGCGCTCTGCTCACCTCCACTAACTACGCTCATGTTGTCGGTGTACAGGTATCCTCATAGATCCCAGTCATTAAACTCATGTGACGGGTGTGACGGATGTGACGGTTAACAAATATATCCACTTGACAAGCTTGTTATGATCAGGCGAACATTAACAGCACAAAGAGCACGGTTTAATGTGTCCAAAACAAATATGCAAAAATTGACTTTAAACAGTTGGAAATTATAAGTATAAATCAACAACAATTTTGTTAAGCAATCATAACTAATCACACAGTATCTGGCAATTAACAGGATCGATGACATTAACCTGGATCCACATATACATTTTACACTGCACGCAATAAACCTAAAGTGACATGTAATCGACCCCGATACACATTGTAAATTGTCCCAATTATGTTACTTGTGCATGTGTTTTTTCCCAAAATAAATGCCTTAAACATATCCCACAACCCAAAGAATGTCTTTAATAACCAAATAAAGGAATTACAAATGACAAGTTATGCATATTTCACTTACGACTTTGGGATGACGTGGTAACGAAACACGAAATATGGCGACTGCAAAGCGTGACCGGGAAGTTCTAGATTACAGTACAATTGTAACAGCGCCCTCTATCATTGAAATATAACAAACAATAAATTTACCTATAAAGGAGCATTCTGACTTAACAATTTGGCACTCCGCCCTCACATGTGCCCAGACCAAGCATATTGAGAGGGTTCCAAAGCGGGTTTTGCGTTTAATTTTAGGATTGCATTACAAATCTTATGCTGAGCGTGACTCAACTTGAAACACTGTGTGACAGAAGGACCACTCTTTGTCACAAATTCGCTTGTCAAGTCCTCCACGTTTTGTCATTGGTTACTGTCAAATAATGCAACAACTTTGAGATTAAGAAATCCTAATCCATCATTTAAACAAATGTTTGCAGAACTGAGCGGTAAAGAATAAGTCCTATTCCTTCCTTTATTAAGCTCTTAGATAATAGTGACAGTAATGACAATACAAACGAACACTGATCCCATCTGTCAGTGCGCGACGTTGTTCAGATCGGTATACCATCCAAACCCTGCATCGTTTCAGGGGTGATTCTTCGATTTGTCTGTTTATACCACCGGTATTGTGTTGGGAGCTCCCACCCATTCGTCATCTAGATGTTGTAATGATTGCCTACAATCTCTGACTGAAATATCTGTAAACACAATAAATTGCCAAGAACGTTACAGTTATTCATCCCTGATCGTAATTGTTCGACGACTATACATACACGCCTGGGTTTCACAGAAAACCGAAGATTGCTACATTTTAAAAAAAAGTCAGCAATTTTTTCTACTCAGAAATTTGAAATAACAAAGAGTATTGACATTTCCACGATGAAATAAAAATTTATCAAGGTAGCCTACAACAAACTTACGAGAGGTGTTGTGATAACACGCAGAAGAGAGGAAATCGTACGCTGCCCTGCCTGGTGCTCTTCACAACTGCACCGGTTTCTTTCTGAACCGAAGCCAAGACTTGATACTGCAGAAAAAAAGATCTTCATTTCCACAGGTTCTGATAGTCTACTTGTCATCTCTTTGTCTATCAGCCAGGTCGACTGTGACAACACTGCCTGGCCAGCCTTCGTGAAAGCATTCGCCTACAAGGACCCCTGCAGTACGCCCGATGACGCTTTCCGCGACTTCATCCTCACAATGACAGTCAACCTACCTATGGATGGCGTGAGTGGCCAATAAATCATTATACGCTTCACTGTCACTCGACTGCGTTGAGAAGGGACACATGAGGGCGTATTATGTAAAATTAGGGTATAACACGAATGCGGTCCTCGCTCCGCTGATCTCCGTTATGGACACTACTATAGATACGCTTTACTCCTATCAAAGATGTGAATTCTTCTTAGCGACGATAAAAATGACAGTGAAAAAGCAATATCCTGAGGTTTCCCAGACGTTGAAAAGGTTGCAATCCACTGAATTAGTAATATCTGCATATCTGCGCGAGCTCTCTCTGATCTGCCGGGGTTATTTTTAACAGTAAGGGGTGCCAAAATTGAGACCGAAGAAGAACCTTTTCTATAAATGAAGCAATTGCTTCTAGCATGGGGCGTGTCTTTCACAAAACCTCCAATTTCGGGGCCTATTTTGTACAGAAGCGGGAGACCTGAGTCCGGGATTTGAGTATTTGGAGTATTGGGAGGAGGGCAGGATAAAAAAGACGTTGCTGACATGTCTGAAATTGGAAAGAAAATTGTCCCAGCGACCATAATCTTGAATTTCCAGTTGGACACGCAAGGTTAAGCTCTTCCTACTCATCACCAGAGGGCGGTATTTTTCTACAATTTCGGAAAATATTTGGGTCGAGTTCGGGCGGCCTGTTCTTGGCACGGGTCTCTTGATCTCGCGCTGGAACGGCGGGAACACGACTCAAGGACACTTTTCCTGGAACAGGATCACACACCACCTCTGCGTCAGGGTTTTACAGGAACACAAAGAAAAACTCGTGAGATTTTGATTTTTGAACAGCCGCAAAAAAAGCGAGATGGCTTTAAAACAAAGCCAGAGACAGTGGAAAGTTTTTGCAAAATTAATAATGCTTATTTTCCACAACATAGGAAGAATGTTCCTTTTTAAATAGAAAAGAATTCAGCCCAGCTACCTAAAATTTACTCTGGAAGAACGTACATGGATGCCGCTATGTTGCATGCAACAACCAGCGATAACCGGTGTTACGTTCCTGGCATTCGATCAAACGGCCGGCGCCGACTCGCAAACAACAAATCGAGCTGTGAACATACGAGAACAAGCCGCCCGAAGTCAGCCTAAGTACCGTGCAAACCCCAAAAGGCGGACACCACCAAAGACTATTGTGGCGCTGTTTAAATGTTAATTTGAAATTGAAATGTTGGTTGGTGCTCTTTTTCGGACCTTTGGGTGGCAATGGTTAGAATGTAATTGTACACAAGCTGCCTATAATTATGTCAAAGTGTGCGTGTCGGATGCTTCCAAAGTAAGTCCTTGGGAAGCATTCAAGTAACACAAACCTGCTTGCCGTATGTGTAAGATGCAAAAAGCCCCGTGCATTGCATTCACACATGAACTAATAAAAAGCACTCGTGTTTGTTTGTATCACCAGTATGACACGTAGTACTCGGCAGCAATCTGGGCGATGTGTTCTTACCTTGTACTCATTGTTTCCTTCACTGATTGCGCGTAAAAGCAATCAGGACCGATGGTTTTTGTGCGCTGAGACCATTTGTATTGTCTGATACTTGAATAGGCTTGGAACTCAATTTCCTTTCAATGATAAATAGGCTATGCCCGTTCTTATTTTTTACCCTCTAATCTCAAGACTTTTTTGCTTTCTTTTTCTCAATTAACTTAGACCATCTTCTGGTCTGGAACCAAGTATCTTGCCATGATGTACTCGATGCTCTCCGGTGGCACCATGTTTTCCTTAGAAACGACCTTCCTCGGGTACACTGTCGACGGGCTCACGTGGTGCGGGGCGACTACAGGAGGCCAGCAAGGGATCAACTACCACCACTGCCCGCCATTTGCTGACCCAAGTTGCGAGAGTTCGGTCTCAAAGGTTTTCTGGGGCGCAGCTTCCATGGCAGTAAGTGGTGTGGGTTAGTAGGTGGGGGGGGAGGCATCATAAATTGGCCAGCAGCACAAGCCAGCATTTTGTGGGAAAGGTTTCTTGCACACCATTCTGTTGCAGATTCTACTCTATGTAATATTTTTTTATTTGGGTCAATATTGCTCTTTTTTAGAAAGGAGATCTGAAATGCTGAAGATCGTGGACTACTCTTTACGCCTGACTGGTATTATTTTATCTTGGCTAATCCGCTCCAAGAGGAAAAAAGAGGGCGTTTTTTGGGGGGGTTCTCACCACAGACATAAATAACCCATATCTATGGTACTCACCACTCACTGCATAGGCGCGCCATGAGGCGGGCAAGTATATGCGCGTTTGACGCCGAGCACGCTGAGTAAGCAAAACTTTTATTTCGGCATATGTGTTCTTTGCGTATACGCAGAACGCGTGCAAGAACCCTGTCTTTCTTTCACCGATTGGGGGTGCACTTCAGCTCGGGGCGGATGATTTCGGATAAATGTTTCATAAATGTTATTGTTTGTTATGCACGTATTTGCATCTGTTTTTGTGACATGCATGTGCCTTTGGCAGGGTCGTTTGTTTTAAACTATGTAATGCCCAATGTTGTTTTTTATTGTCAGTTCGCCAAGCAAGCACGAGGAAGGGTCACCGTCCTCTTAAACGGAAGCGACCCAGGTGGGGCCTTCCGGAACAACAGGTGTGTGTAGGGCTACAAATGATACTTGTGTGATGAATTTCAGATTATTAACACAAACAGTTTTTTAGTTTACAACGAGACAAACTGAAACACCTTATTTGAATATAAATGTACATAAAGCCAAGAAACAAGTAACAGTGGAAAAATGAGAAATTGCTCAGCAAAGTCTTACGAAATATTTCCAGTTTTAGAGATGTTAATGTGCTCGGTGGATATTACTTTCCATTGTACTGCAGCTTTTTTGCCACCATAGAACTTCCCAACTTGAAAACCTCTGCGGTAGATCTAGTCAACATTATCGTTGTACATGATCTGGACGGGCAGGTTGTGTAAGTGCTGTTGACATACGTTTGTACAGTAATCATCCTAAAAACTACTTTCTGATTGGTTACCACTTCTGGGGCTGTATGGCACGACTCTATGCTACTGCCTGTAGTTACTATACTACCGTACAGTCGGATGCATGTTCAAGCCTCAGCCAAGTAATTCAGACCCAGGCTGATACTTTCTGGGATATAGGGCGCTCTGTTGCAAGCTAAGACCGCTGCACTGTAGCCAAACGCTTTAATATCTACGTCGGTGGTGTCAGTTTATCGTCTTTTGATTGGATCCCATACATGTACATTTGCTGCAGCGAGCAAGCACGTGCTAACGCTGTGCTTCGGTGCGCACGAGATGAGCAAAGGCATGGGCGTAAATCCCGAGGCGGAAGGGGGGGGGACATATTCCCAAAGGTGGAGAATGGGCTATTGAATCATCCCCCACTCTGTTTTGAGGTGAGATAAAATTAAACGGATTGTGAAGAATTTTTCAGACTTTCAACGACTAAAATGCATTCAACATCTCTCAAAAAAGGGCAACCAATTTTAGAAAGCCGTAAATGAATACATATTACAGCTGTTCATCAATTTTATGAGAATCGACCTATATATAGAGTTATACTGTGTCGACCCCCCCCCACTGTTCAAATTTTCAGGGCCAGGCAAGTCATCCCCCACCTTTCCCCACCCCCAATTTCCGGCGCAAATTTACGTCACTGAGCAAAGGGGACGACTACCAAGGCACTTTGGGATATTGAAGTTACCATTTCACACACAGAACCCAAAGCGTTGAGATGAGCTTTAATGGTGAGGGCCTGCCTCCGGAAATTATTTAGAATCTAGTTATTCTTTCGCCTATTTTTTCTATTGGTCACTTACAGATTTCAATAGATGATGATACTCCTTGTACTAATTAAATGGTTTCGGAGGAGAAACGCAAGGAAAGATGTGAATTAAAGTAATTTAAAAATAACTCACTGTAATGATCTAAAAAGTAATGGAAGAAAACTAATTTGTTGACATTCTTAGAGATACCTGTGATACTGGGACAGTGAAGACGCTAAAGAACCGCATTGCCCATCGAGGATTAAAATGGACTTGCCAGGACGACCCGAGGTAAATCGTCTTTAAAACAAAATGACATGGACCAAACCAATTCATAAGCCTAAATACGGTAAAAAAAAAACCACCAGCCAATCAATATAACGAAGCAGTGTTCTTTAAACGCACTTATTTTCTGTTTCTTTATATGGTTGCTGTTCTGTATTGATTTTTACTTTCTTACACTGTCAAAAGACAGACATGGCTTGGAGCATTTAAGCCTGTATCCAGATGATTTTCAAAAGATATATCTTGCATTGGACATCGATAACAACAGTTTAGATTGTAGCGACTTATAAGCAAGCATATACATGTACCATTAAGTGGGAAGGATCTCTTATTTTGGTGTTGAAGTTCCATCATCAGGAAACGTATACATATATCGTTGATACATCGTTTCATTAAGGATGTTATTGATTTAAATAACAGGAGGGTGTGGGATCTTTCACAGGTTGGCTAGACTCATCCTATGCACTGAGAATCTGGACAACGAGAAATGTAGTCTGGCATCCAAAACCCACTTGGGTTGGTACCTCATCGTCTTCGCTTTTGCTACTGTGCTTTGGACAATCGAGTTTGGCTAGATTCAGGCTTGCCATGCGACGTATTCATCTCTACAGGACAAAGACAATGCTAAAACGATAAGAAATAGGTAAAGTGAACTGTGGGTACTATTGCAAATTAAGTGAACCTGTACGGCTTAGAACAGAAAAGGAGAGAGTCTATAAAAGACAGCATGATTTTTTTTTATTACACAAGTGTCTGGCGATACACCATATAACTTCCTATTGGGAAAAGTTTTTTTGGTCATTTTTCACAGGAGACTGGTCTTCGTGTCTCATGGAAGATTCCCTGTTGAAATGGCAGACTGTACTTCATATTTGAAAGCTAAGGTCCTCTAAAGCCACGATTAGCTTTTATTCTATTCGGGTCTATTTTATGTAGCGTCTTGTGTTACAAAAATTTCACCTCTTAATAATTTCATACTGAACTTCTGCTTTATTCAAGGAGAGGCCTGGTTGGACATTGTAAAGAAATATAAAGTTTGCTTCACCTATTTTTATTGTGATTTGCTCACATCCAAAATCAGAAGGGAAATCCAGCAGAAATGCAAACATCGTGGATTTCAAATGGGCATCAGTACAGGAAGATGTTCAATATACAATACATTCGTGTTTTTTCTCGATAAATATTTGCATTTTCAAAGGAGAGCGATATATATGCTTTGTAATTTAAGAAACAGATGGGCGAGGCGATTTACAGTTTTCCTCATGTGACTTCCAGAATTTGTCGAAAATGGGCTTATCGTCTAAAAATAATTATCAAATAATATTCATGCATAAATTGTTCGCGTCGTAAAACGCTCGCCTAATCTCCAGCCTTATTTGCTAAACACAAATTGGGAAAATATATGTTTCTGTGGCGTTGCAGCCTTTGATACATTTGGTAAAATATTATGATCTTTGCCAGTAGAACCAAGGAGAAGTGGCGGCATTCGGCGTGCACGTTGCTTAAATGCCTAAGAACACAGGCACCTATGGTAATATACCTGGCGGCACAGTGATCATAATTGAATTTGGGGTTTGCTTTCACCAAAAAGTGCATCCGATCAGGTACAAATATCGGTCAAATTGAAATTAAACATTTGAATTGAAATTAAAAACTAACATACAGCAGTGATACCTAATTATGTACAGCATCAATACAACTCGCTTAAAAATACACATGCAGTAAAACAATATAGAGAGAATGAGGGGAACAATACTAAATTTCACAACGAACTCTTTGCAAAAAGGGGACACCGCACGCAGCGAATTAAGTTAAAAACTCAAATGCTATGCTCCTCGATTTCTTCTTTTGACAAGTTCAAAATAGTATAGATGTGTAAAAAATACTCTGACTGATGAAAATAGAAATGAAAACCTATACTGTCAATGTGAAGTTCATTCAAGAAGTACAGTTGCTTCGCCACACTCTTGCAGTCGAAGTTATGCCCCAGGGAATGAGGGTATCCCCTGGGATTTACGCCCTTGGGAAAAACTTTATAAATTTCATGTTACGTGGGGGTGGGCTACATCCCTTTATCTTCTAGTAGTGAGGAGAAAAAGGCGGATTTAAGGGTTATAAAACAATACTCACAACAAGCACCAAAATATATGCAAAAGTACTGGAAAAGGGAGAAAAACGACAAAACCCCGCTTAAAGGTGAAGGGTTGTTATGATGATTAGCGCCTCCAAGTGTCATGTGGTTATCCACGAATCCGAAGCTTTCGAATTTGCACAGCCAGGCCATTCACCCTCCGTATCGTGTCGCAATATGTGGGAAAAGATTTACTCCACATCCCCCGCTGAAAAAAATTAACCCCTCCCCCCAAATGGTTCTGGATCCTCCTATGAAGGAGCGGAGCTAAGAGCCGGGTTTAGGGGATGAAAATTCGCTTGGTTTTGCAAGTAGCCGATCAATGTGAGAGACTGTTCATATCAGTCTGTAAGTGGCGTTGTCTGAGTCAAATTTAATTATTCCGGAAAATCAAAGGCATCATCAACAAAATGCAGTTGGAATCAACCTAGCTGGGAATGTCATTTTACANGCCTTGGGAAAAACTTTATAAATTTCATGTTACGTGGGGGTGGGCTACATCCCTTTATCTTCTTGTAGTGAGGAGAAAAAGGCGGATTTAAGGGTTATAAAACAATACTCACAACAAGCACCAAAATATATGCAAAAGTACTGGAAAAGGTAAAAAAAAATGACAAAACCCCGCTTAAAGGTGAAGGGTTGTTATGATGATTAGCGCCTCCAAGTATCATGTGGTTATCCACGAATCCAAAGCTTTCGAATTTGCACAGCCAGGCCATTCACCCTCCGTATTGTGTCGCAATATGTGGAAAAGATTTACTCCACATCCCCCACTGAAAAAATTAACCCCTCCCCCCAAATGGTTCTGGATCCTCCTATGAAGGAGCGGTGCTAAGAGCCGGGTTTAGGGGGATGAAAATTCGCTTGGTTTTGCAAGTAGCCGATCAATGTGAGAGACTGTTCACATCAGTCTGTAAGTGGCGTTGTCTAAGTCAAATTTAATTATTCCGGAAAATCAAAGGCATCATCAACAAAATGCAGTTGGAATCAACCTAGCTGGGAATGTCATTCTACAACATTACTTATTAACCCCATCAAATAATAAATCTAATAAATAAGGAGTTGATTGCAACCTCCTGCTGTACTTGTCAATAATTTAGCGGTATCTTCTATTTTTCAGTTGGGAATATTAGCAAACATGTTAGAAGTTATTCGATCCTGACTGGGTTTGTTTAAGTTTAAACCTGTACCCGGTCTTTTTCCCCTTATTAAAATTGTTCATAGTGTTAAGAATGCGTATGGGGGGGGTTAATGATACTGGCTGTGAAGCTTTCGCGATTACAATTTTCTGAGTAAACAGCCTGACTTTGATGTCTTCTTTCGCAAAAATATGGAACTGCATTAAATAAAGAATCTCTTTGTCGGGAAACATGAAAATGAAACCTCACGCCAATGGCAACGTCAAAACCGTGGCTTGAAAAGTTCCCCTTAATAAGATTTGCTGGCGCAAAAATGACAGAGCTGTGCTTATTAATTAAAAGGCGAACAAAATACAAAAACCAAGAGAAAAGAAAATGATATTCGTTTTCACATTCCTTGTGAGTTAAAGCAATGTGCAATAAATAATGAGACATTTGTTTGGCCTAAAAAATATAAATATCCTAACGAAGGACAACCGACCTGTGCTTGTGCACGAGACGGCCTCATTTTTCCTAACGTCGGAACACTGACCAATCAAAAGTATTTTGCGCTTCAGTAACATACAGGGCGAATTTTAGCCAATAGAGTATCACATTATAATAGGTACTACTGCCATTGGTCAGTAGGTGCAAAACCATCCTGCTGACCCTTTAGTCTCGGACAGAATAAAAACTGTCGTCAGCATCGTTATGAATCACTCCAGCTGTCGTCGCCACTTCCATAACTGCAATCCTGAAGACTTTTCACTTCGAATGGTACACTCTTCATATTCTCGAGAGGAAACTTCAATGTGTAAGTATCTTTTTTCCTGTAAGCATTTCAAAAACAGATAGAGATCGGAAGCCTTAATAATTCCTTCAATCGAAACGGGGAATAACTGCTTTACTTAGACTTACCTTCTGTATTTTAAAACTTTCATTCGATTTGAATGGTCTCGTTAGTGGCTTACGGCATTTGTTTCATTATAGCCAAATTGCAGAAACACGGTTACTTGAGTCCACGAGTGCATACTTTGCGCTGGTTGTTCTAGCCAGCCTCTTTGGATTGACCCCAATTACATCGGTGAAAGTGGTAATTTAGAAGGCTGACGTGGTGTCCGTAGACTGACAATCAAGAATCTTTAGCGTTTCAACAAAAAGCTACTGTCCTAATATGCCCTTTTAAAAGTCAACTTCAAACTCCCAATTTATACAGGTGACCCTGAGGTAAAACAGCATATCTCAAAAAAGTGGTCCTTTGGTGAAAAGTCATCCATGTCAGTCGGCCCAAATGCAAACATGAAACTGGTTGGCTTCGCTTAAGGGGCAAGGATATCTTGGGCGCATGATATATCCGCGCCAAACTCGTCACAATTAGGCCTACATGGTGAACAGAAATAGTTCTTAATCAGTTGAGGTATACGGGTGACAGGCTGTGCTTTTCGTGTGTACTTTTATTCTACGTGACTCTATTGACTGCCAATGGAGTATTTTCTGTGAAAGTGATTATGATGCCGCTGGCATTCCGTAATTGTTAAGCCATGCGAGGCGTTTACGTATAAAACGACCTGACATGAAGTCACAGCCAGTCTCTATCGGACGGTCAGGTTTAAATATCAGTGCAAAGAATCTGTCCTTTTTTAATAGCAAGAAAATTGCTCAGTAGGTGCCTTCTAACCCCTCCACTGTTAAAACCCGCAAAGACAGAGAGGGGTCAGAGTAATAAGGCCAGGGTACTTTTATTTCCAGTCCTGCTGAATTCGAAGGGAGGGGGAAGCCTTCATCACTTTATCAACTGCCAAGTCACAGCTCATGATCCTGCCCCCAACTGCGAGTCAATGACTCTAAACACATCAGCGAGAGCCTCGAGCCTGCTAGACGTGCTATATGACAGGTCCTGGCTAACTTTGGCAAACCTTGGCTCCAGCTGAGTAAATAATTCCGTGGGGCCAAATGGCGGAAATGTTTAAATACATTCCAATGGGACCTGGCAAAATGCCGGCTCTAGAATTTTTTTCTAGCTCAGGGGAATCCTCGAAGTGAAAGGTGACTAAACTAGGCTGTTCAGCATGAAGAGAGGTAGGCATAAACAGAAGGTGGTTGCATTTTGTTTGTAACCGGGAAATTAGCAAAAAAAGGACTTCAAGACTCGGAGGCCTTTCGCTTCACCCACGGAGAGGAGCATGGCAATAATTTAAAAACTTGCCAAACCACTTTCCCTTTGCAATTAGGCCTATAAAAAGCATCCACAAACTTTGTTTAGGATTCTTCCCCCTTGGAATCATTTGCCTAGTTCATGTAAGCCTGCGAATCAGCTCGCAAGATTGATGCATGGTAACCCAAATCGCAAAGTTTGATTGAAAGTTCATACTGACGGGAGCCATGCTGAGTTCTTCTGACCTCGGGTAAATTAAAAAAACAATCAGACCAGAAAGTAAGAGCTATGACTTTAAAGGGCTTCTATAAAAAGTGAGAACTCCTTGG